GGGAGTTAGAGCCGGATTTCGGTCTAGACAAACTAGTTCCTTAAGAAACATGAATTCGATAGGTTGACGCCCCAAAATCACCAAAACGACGTCGGTTTACCATGAAACTTGGCACATACGACGACCTAGGCACGAGAGAGTTGTGGGAGAAGACAGGACTCGAATCGGGTTTCCGAATTGGGAGTTAGAGCCGGATTTCACTTTAGGCAAACTAGTTTCTTAAGAAACTTGAATTCGAGGTGTTAACGCCCCAAAATCACCAAACGACGTCGGTTTAGCATGAAACTTGACACATGTGACCGCCTAGGCACGAGAGACTTGTGGGAGAAGGTGGAGCTCGAATCGGGTTCCCGATTTGGGAGTTAGAGTTGGATTTCAGTCTAGGCAAACTAATTCCTTAAAAAACTTGAATTCGAGGTGTTGATGCCCCAAAATCACCAAACGGCGTCGGTTTAGCACGAAACTTGGCACACACGACTACCTAGGCATGAGAGACTTGTGGGAGAAGATGAGACTCCAATCGGGTTCCCGGTTTAGGAGTTAGAGGCAGATTTCGGTCTAGGCAAATTAGTTCCTTAAGAAACTTGAATTCGAGGTGTTAACTCCCCAAAATCACCAAATGACGTCGGTTTAGCACGAAACTTGGCACACACAACCGCCTAGGCATGAAAGACTTGTGGGAGAAGACGGAACTCCAATCGAGTTTCCGGTTTGGGAGTTAGGGCCGGATTTCTGTCTAGCCAAAATTATTTACTAAACTATCTTTATAATTATATAGTAGTTAATTTTTTATGTTTTTTCTGTAATTAAAATATTAACACCATTATATTGTCATTAATTATTTTTATTTTGTTATTTTCAGATATTTCCTGAGTAGCAGTTTGCTCACTACAACAAAAACATATTTTAGTGGCACTACACTAGTGTCATATTTTTAGAAAATGCCACAAAAAATGATATTTAGTGGCACGTTTTTTAAAAATGCCACAAAACGACAAACATAAAAGGCTCTAGTGACATTTTAATGAACAAGTGTCACAACACTACAACAAAAACATATTTTAGTAACACCATACTAGTGGCATGTTCTTAAAAAATGTCACAAAAAGAATATTTGGTGGCATTTTTTAGAAAAATGTCATAGAGCCACAAACATACAAGGCTCTAGTGGCATTTCAATTAAAAAAAGTGTCACTTCACTACAACAAAAATGTCATTACAACAAATTTACGCTTTAGTGACACTACACTAGTAACATGTTTTTAGAAAATGCCACAAAAATAAAAATTGGCATTAAATGTGTTTAGAAAAATGCCATAGAACCACAAAACATATAAGGCTCCAGTGGCATTTCAATAAAGAAATGTCACATCAATTTTATGACATTTTATAAAATAATGACACAAAAAATTATGTTCGTGACATTTACCAACAGATGCCACTAAACTTTAGTTGCAATGGCATTTTTTAAAAAATGTCAGGACACTAGGTAGGTGCAAATTACTTTTTATGGCACTTAGGTGAAAAGTGTCATAAACAAATATTTTATAGCATTTTGAGAAATGCCACTAAGCCAAAAACTTTCCAAGCTTATAATGACATTTTTGAAAAAACAAAAAATGCCAATATATTTTCTAAATTTTTAAAATGCAGTAAATGATTAAAAATAAATGAATTAAACTCAATACACACTACAGGAAAAATCATATTCGGCGACTAAATTTCCTGACCAAAAAAATTTGGTCGCTGAAAGTATAGCTTTCAGCGACCAAAACAGCATTAGTAACCAAAAATAAAGCTTTTTGGCAACTAAAAAATTTTAGTAGCCAAAAGTCTACAATTGGCGACTAAAAAATAAGCTTAGTCGCCAAAAGTGGTCATTTTTAGCGCAGGAGAACTAAAATCCTAAGGCGGGAATAAAATTTTTTGGTGACCAAAATTTAGGTAGCTAAAAGTGCATCTTCGGCGATCAAATCCGATTTTGGTCGACAAAAGTTAAGTTTTTAGCAACTAAAAAACAATTAGTAGCCAAAAATATAAGAATATTTTTTTAGTCACAAAAAGTGGTCTTTTTTTTATTTTGGTAGTAAATAGGTTTATTTTACATAAATTATGTTCAATAAAATAATAGTTTATACATATACTTTTATTATATATGGATGTATGTACTATATAATATAATATATGTTGCATATATAGGCCCTGTTTGGTAAGCTTAATTTCAGCTTATTTCAGCTTTCAGCTTAATTTAAGCTATTTTGATGTGTTTGGTTTAGCTTTATAGCTTATAGCTTATAACTTTGTGGAAGTCAGAAAACAGCTTATTCTTTAAGTGGGGCAGGAGATGCTTTAAGAATAAGCTGAAAATCAGTTAACTGAAAGTTATAAGCTATAAGCTGTTTAGGCATAAGCTATAAGCCACTTTCCCACAGCTCTACCAAACAGGGCTATAATCATGTGGTGCTATAGAGGTGTAGTGGGAAGAGTGTGGTATATAAGGTTTATGGTGCGGGAGGTTGGCGATTCGAGTCTCCGTAAGAGCGGATCAAATTGTTCTACAACGAATTATTGTCACGAATGGCACTTGATAGCATCACGAATAGTGTCTACCATGACATTAAAGTGTCACTGTAAGGTTTTAGTCTTGATGGTGTAATGACACTTACAAGTGTCACTAACTCTTTTTTTAATGGCGCTTGATAGTGCCACAAATAATATCTACCATGACATTAAAATGTCATTGAAAGTTTTCAGCCATGATGGTGCAGTGGCACTTGCAAGTATCTACCGTGGCACTCGTATCTACCGTAGCACCGATAGAAGTGGCACTTGTTCAAAATGCCACAAGACCAAAAAATGTCATTAAAAGAATAGTTTTGTGGCACTTTCAAATGTCACTAAACTAAGAAAATGTTATAGTGGCTTCTTGTGGAATGCGGGCGTGTAAAGATTATGACCAACTTTTGTTTTTGTAACCCACGGAAGAATCATGACGAAAACTTTTGGTTTTGATTTACGTTATTTAGATTTGTGAACAACATTATGTATGTCTTATGCGACATTATGTAGTGGGATAATTTTTATTGTTATGAATTTTTATTTATGTATTATTATGAATGGAACAACATTATGAATTTTCATTATGTGCCAACTTTTGTTTATGTATGTATTTATATTATTATGTAATTATTGATTTTTTTTTAGTTATTTTTCATTTAATACAGGTTAGTTTCATATTTTTAATAATTTTAATGAAGTTTTTTTTTTTTTGGGACGGCACCACATACACCGTCTCAAAAAGAAAATTGAACCAGGGTTTTTACTGCCGTCGCAAAAGATAGGGGAATTGGTTGAAAAGGAAGGCCTTTAGCGACGGTGTTATTGTCGTCGCCAATAGTCCTTTAGCGATGACAACAGATGCTGTCTCAAATAACCCTTTAGCGACGGTATTTTTGCTGTCGCAAAAAACCCTTTTAGCGACGGCGACACAGTACCGTCTAAAAAAAACTCAGATTTTCACACGTTATTTGCGACAGAATTTTTCCGTCGCAAAAAAAAGGCGACGGCGTTATGCCGTCGCTAAAACCCTTTTGCAACCCTCTTTGTTGCGACCCCCCACTTGCCGTCGCAAAAAGCCACTTACCGTCGCAAAAAACCTTTGGAGACGGCGTTTTGGGTATTTTGCGACGACATTTTGCCATCACAAAAAAATAATTCTTTTGTAGTGCACCTATACGTAACGTGACACCTACATAAACGTAACGTGACACCTATGATCTATGGTAACATGTAATTTTCTATATAAGAAATTGCATGTTACCATAGATCATATCTACATAAACGTAACGTAACGTGACACCTATTATTTACGACAACATTCAATTTCCTATTTATATGAAATGTAACATGACACCAACATAAACTAGCAACATCTTCACATTCAATTTAAAAAAATAAAAACTCATTAAGTTTGCGAAACGTAACGTGTCACGTTACGTTACGTTTATGTAAGTGTCACGTCACATCACGTTACGTTTATGTATGATCTTGCGGAATACATTCATATCTAAATAGGACTTGAAGCTTTATAAGATATTACACAGGATTTAACCTACCATAAATGTCCGAAAAATGACTTATAAATAAGTCTCTCATATTTTATATACTTTTATTATTTGATTGGACATGGTCATTAAAAATTAATAAAAATTAGAGTGTATTGCGTGACTAGCTATATTTGAGGAACTACCATAGCACTTTCCTCAAATGGGGCAGCTAACTGTTAGAACTATTTCATTGGAAAGAAGCTCTCTAAAGTTAGCCAAAAACTTGGAAATGAGGAAGTTATTGAAATGGTCCAAGTTGTGTGCTCGGGACTAAAGAAATTGACAAAGTAAACACAAGTTTGTTTTCACTTATTTAATTAAAAATTTAAGAACACATGTTTTAGTAGTAGTAATTAAACATATTAGGATATTAGATTTAACATCTTTGAATTTTCTTCAACAAAGGCTTATAATATTAGACAATCAAGTCATAAGTTCAATTTTAAAAATTTTGAGACAATAACCTTAAGGTCTATTATTTTGTAGTTAGAAGGACAAAACAATTTGAAAGATCATATTATCTATATCTATATGTTTATCAGTTTATATCATCTATATGTTCAAGTTTTATATATTTGTCCAACTATTGTCTACGTGGCATCCTCTATTTGTTCACATGTGACCTAACTATCCATCTAATCTGCTTATTTGTTCATATCACCACCACCAATTGTTACAATCGACTTTTATGACAATTTTTTTTAGTGTCGATGGTGATCTGACGATGGCCTACACAGTAATCTAATAATAATAGAGTAAAAATAAAGAAAAAATTGTTCAAAATAATATTTTATCCTTCTCACCAAACAATTTTATTTCAAAAATATTGGCCAATTTAATAGCTTTATTTAGCTCAATAAATCATTTTATATTTACAAAAAAGAAAAAAAAAAAAAAAAAAAACAGCAACAACAGCCATAACAACTAACTACTTATGAAACCCCGCCCCTCTCTCTCTCATATGCAACCCACCGAACTCTGTCATGATCGGCATATGCAAACCCACTTTGGAAAATTCAAAATCTTGCAAAAACTTTTCCCCAATCTATAACATAAATAAAAGTCAGACAACCCATCCTCTATCTCTCTTCTCCGGCGCCTGCATTTCCTACTCCGGTCACTTCACATCTCCGGAAGAAACCGCGATAGTCTTCACTAGTTCCCCAGACTCAACAGAATTTCCAATTCCTTCCTTGCTTGAATTCGTAAGTTTGTTGCTTCTTCTTGTTTTTTTTTTTTTTTTTTTCTTTTTAATTTTTTTTTTTTGTGTTTTTTGTGTGTTTTTTTTTTTTTGCCCTCCAAACCCATTTGGGTATGTGTATATGGGAGCTAATAAATTTTACAGGATTACATTTATATAATGTTTGTAGGGACTCAAAATGAGTAATAGTTTCATTGATGACGACCCATTTCCAACTGCTGATTCAAATGTGTTTTGCTATCTAAATCAGGTTTTTTTATTTTTTTTTTGGTTCTATTTTTATTGGTTGTTAGACATTCGCTTGTTTTGGGGAATGCGAAATCTGAAGAGGGACATAGTCAAACTTTTTTTTAAAATTTTCCCAGAAACCCATCTGGATTGAGTGATTTCGAGAGAAAAGAAAGAAATCTATTTGTCTTGATCTTTATAGCCTGTTTGGATTAATGAGGAAAGAAACAGGAGAAATGAAAAGAAATATAGGGAAATTGGATTGTCTTAAAACTTACTCGTTTTTTTTTTTCCTCCGAAGTGGAGAGATTCAGAAACAAAAAAAATGGGCTGATTACTAATTTTTTAGAATAACAAAAAATTTCATCTAGGTACTAAAGCAATAAAAACATAAAATGTTATTTTGATAATATAACCGGTATGAGTTTTTTTTTCCCTTCTTTTCTTTTACATAGTTATCCAAACAAGATAAGAGATCTTTTCTTTTATCTCCACAGTAATCAAACAAGCGGGAGAGAAAACACAGTCTTTTCTCTCTTAATTTAAAAAATTATTTCTTTTCTTTTCCCTCCTGAATTCCCAAACAGACTGAACGGGTTAAGAGATCCATCTGTCTCTGAAGTATAATTCCCAGCAATGTTCTACATTTCCATTTTTTGGGGTTCCAATTTAATAGGTATCTTTTATTTTTGTCTTTGATAAGATGGATTTGGCGTTTTTTTTTCTCTCAGGATTGATCGGAACTATGAATGCAAAACCCAAGAGGAGAACTGTAAAGGAGAATGGGGATACCGGCGAGGACTTGGTTCTTGCAACTTTGATTGGGAATGGCGAGGATTTGGGTCCCATGGTCAAGCATGCTTTTGAGATGGGCAGGCCCGAAGCACTACTTCACCAACTTAAGTTTGTAGTCAAGAAGAAGGAAGTTGAGATTGAGGAGCTCTGTAAGCTACACTACGAGGAATTTATTCTTGCTGTTGATGAGCTCCGCGGTGTCCTAGTTGATGCTGAAGAGCTAAAAAGTGAGCTTGCAAGTGATAATTTTAGGCTGCAAGAGGTTGGGAGTTCTCTTCTTCTCAAACTCGATGAGCTCCTCCAATCTTATTCAATTAAGAAGAATGTCACTGAAGCCATTAAAAGATCAAGGAACTGTGTTCAAGTGTTGGATCTATGCGTCAAGTGTAACAATCACATTTCTGAATTGCGGTTTTACCCTGCTCTGAAAACCATTGATCTGATCGAGAAAAATTATTTGCAAAATATTCCCGTCAAGACGCTCAGGATGCTTATAGAGGAAAGAATACCAATAATAAAATCACATATTGAGAAAAAGGTCACTAGTCAAGTTAACGAATGGCTAGTTCTCATAAGGAGCACTGCAAAAGATATTGGACAAACGGCAATAAAATATGCTGCATTGGCTCGTCAGAGGGACGAGGAAACGCTAGCTTGTCAGAGGAAAGCCGAGGAACAGAGTTGTTCAGGGTTAGAAGATTTTCCATATACTTTGGATGTTGAAGAAATTGATGAAGATTCAGTTCTGAAATTTGACCTCACGCCTCTTCATCGGGCATATCACATTCACACTTGCCTAGGAATCCCAGAGAAGTTTCGTGATTACTATTACAAGAATCGGTTGTTGCAGCTAAGTTCAGATTTGCAAATATCTTCCACCCAACCATTTCTTGAATCCCATCAGACCTTTTTAGCTCAAATTGCAGGGTATTTTATAGTGGAGGATAGAGTCTTGAGGACTGCTGGTGGGCTATTATTGGCTAGTCAGGTCGAGACGATGTGGGAAACAGCTGTTGCTAAAGTGACATCAGTGTTGGAGGAACAGTTTTCCCATATGGACACCGCGAGCCATATTCTCTTGGTCAAGGATTATGTGACTCTTCTTGGGGCAACACTTAGGCAATATGGTTATGAAGTGGGTTCAATTCTTGAGATTCTCAACCATAGCCGTGAAAAGTACCACGAGCTTCTTTTAACAGAGTGTCGACAACAAATCACCGATATTCTTGCCAACGACACCTGTGAGCAAATGGTAATGAAAAAGGAGTCAGACTACCAAACAAATGTTCTGATGTTCCATCTTCAAACCTCGGATATAATGCCAGCTTTCCCCTATATTGCACCATTCTCTTCCATGGTACCCAATTGCTGCCGAATTGTTAGATCATTCATAAAGGACTCAGTCAGTTACTTGTCTTATGGTGGACAAATGAATTTTTTTGACTATGTGAAGAAGTATTTGGACAGGCTCTTGATTGATGTATTAAATGAAGTTATACTCAATACAATTTACAGTGGTACCACTGGTGTCTCTCAAGCAATGCAGATTGCTGCAAACATAGCTGTTCTAGAAAGGGCTTGTGATTTTTTTCTTCAAAATGCAGCCCAGCAATGTGGGATCCCGATCCGCTCTGTTGGAAGGCCTCAGGCTAGTTTAACGTCGAAGGTGGTTCTTAAAACATCAAGAGATGCGGCTTACCTTGCTCTGCTAAATTTGGTGAACTGCAAGTTAGATGAGTTTATGGCACTTACAGAAAATGTGAATTGGACTCCGGATGATCCACCGCCGAGCGCACACGAGTACATAAATGAGGTGGTTATTTACCTTGATACCCTTATGTCAACTGCTCAGCAAATTTTACCTCTTGATGCCTTGTATAAAGTTGGAAGTGGGGCTCTTGAGCATATTTCCAATTCTATTTTTGAAGCTTTTCTTAGTGACAGTGTGAAGAGATTCAATGCTAATGCAGTTATGGGTATCAACAATGATCTGAAGACATTAGAATCTTTTGCAGACGAGAGGTTTCACAGCACTGGATTGAGTGAAATATACAAGGAAGGTAGTTTTCGTGGCTACTTGATTGAATTAAGGCAATTGATAAACCTTCTTTTAAGCAGCCAGCCTGAGAACTTCATGAATCCTGTTATAAGGCAGAGAAACTACAATTCTTTGGACTACAAGAAGGTGGCTACTATCTGTGATAAGTTCAAGGATTCGCCTGATGGGCTCTTTGGAAGCCTTTCAAGCAGAGGTGCAAAGCCAAATTCTCGCAAGAAGTCAATGGACGTCTTGAAAAGAAGACTGAGGGATTTCAACTGAGAGAGGTTGCAGATCTATTGGGATTAGAAGCCGCTGAACTTTCTTTTTTAATATTTTATGATAATATTGATTTTTTAATAATACATATGAATTAGTTTCCTTAAATAAGTTTTTCTTTATTTCAAATGTCGCATTATTTTTTCATCAAATTTGTTATTATTGTGTTAAAATTCCTTGAAACTTTTTCTATAGAAGGATCTTGGATATATAAGCTCAATAAAGCGTGCATCATTCAATATAATCTAAACTTTACTATGTGTATATTCGTTGCGACTTTATTACAGTTTTCTGTCAAAAAAAAATTTTTGGGCTTGCTTTATTAGTTGAGCAAAGAGAGGGTCACACAGCGATATGCGATTTTTGAGCTGCTGTAAGGCAAAGGTCCCGCATTATCACTTTGTTGCACTTGTGTGATCTGATCTAAAAGAGCAACAATTAGACTATGCTCTGATGACCTGCAGTTTGTCTTCTCTCTATAACTTAATTTGAGCAATGATAGAGACCACTAAAAGTGGTGCTCTAACGCAACCATTAATGATGCGGCATCCACTTTTTTTATGTGACATTCACTTTAAAAAAAAAAAAAAAAAAAAAAACAGACAAAACAACATTGTGGCAGTGGGTGGGACCTACCGCCACATCATTAGTGATGGCACTAATTAGTACTCTCACTCATTTTTCATTTGGAAATTGCAACTTATTTATTGTTCATCATTTATAAGTTAATTAATGGTCTTTTATATTTATTGCATACTGAACGATGCTTCCCTTTTCTACTATTTCTTTCTTTGGTGTAATTCTAGTATCATATGCATACACTGATGACCAAATATGACATTTTCGAGTGCATTTGTACATATATGAAATCTTAATGTTTTTCATCGGTCTGTGGGGGAAAAAATTCCCCAATATAGTATTAGTTGTCCCTCCCACCTCCCCCCAGGTGTTGTGAATTTGTTTGTGTCTTTAATCACTTTTAACTTCAAATGGTAATGTGTGTGCCTTTTAGTGCTAAGTATAAGTTTTTGGATTGAGACTGAGGATCAGTGTGATTTATAGTAACTTTTGACAATTTAGGTTTGGAAAAACTATTTCTGTTTATTGTTTATTTTTAAGTGTCTGCTGGTATAACTGGACTATACACCTTGCACCCTTGTGATTAGGCTCTGCTTGTTCTGTGAAAATCATTCCCTACAGAAAATCTGTTGTGTGTGTGTGTGTGGATTTTTTTGTCAATTATTGTCCCAAGAGAATTAATTTTCTTTGAGTATTGTCTATGAATGGATTATAGAATGTGTGGAATGCTTACCGGACATTGCTAAGAATATCGGCTACAAAACAGAGTTCTTTTTCCCCCTCAGCCAGGCATAATAGATTGAAATGTTTTGTTTGATTCTTTATGGGAGTCAAAGAATCACTTGACTTTAACAAACTTGCTAATGGGTTTGAACATATCAAGAATCAAATTAGGGTTTTAGCAGTATGAAAGCTACCTTGCACATTAGAATAAAAAGTTTGTGTTTGTATTGTTTTCAGAGAAGTGCCGGTTTGCATGTACTGCATTCATCCTGAATGGCTCTCATCCACCTCGACGAATGCACTACTTTCGTGCACCTTTCTGTCAAAACAAATTAGTTTTTGTAGCAAACACATCTTGAAATAAATTCAACTTTTCTGAAGGCTCTTTTCACTTAAAGATAAATTGAGACACTCCATAACTAATATAGTTCAACTTAAAACATCAATGTAGAAGCTCTAAGCAAGCAAGGTCAAGATCTCTCTCTCATTCTCTTAGCCTCTTTGTATGGAAAAGGATGAAGCACATCTTTAGCCCATCTCCTCTCCTCGAATAACTCTTGATAACACACTCGAAAAAATTTCATTACTAGGAAGGAGAAAACGAAAAGAAAAAGATAAAAATAAAATCTAGATAAGTAGTCCACACAAAGGTGGAGAAAAATTCTAATTTTCTATCTTCAACCACTGATCCCCATTTTCCAGGACATGGTGAACTTCTTACCCACGGGCAATTCCAACCCTTTAACCTCTACCATCGTACTCTTCTTCATGTCACCTCCATCTTCCAACCCTTGAGGATATTTCTGTTCCGTTGCGCTAATCTCCACTTTTGAAGTATCCACAACTGGATTTCCATCAATCTTAATTGCAAATGCTCCTCCAATTCCATTAAGTCCCAACACGGTTACCTTCTCAATGATCCAACGGTTTTCTAGAGCAAATTTACCGTCCTGAACATCTGACCACACCTTCACCATTCCCTGACCCACACTCGCGTAGAAATCAACGTACGTGGAATACCCATTTCCAAGTTTCATTTCTGGGAGCTCATCATCATCAAGGAAAAGGTTACCTTTGGCTTCTCCGTCAGCAGCCCCCGCTGGGAAGGTCACTATGAGGCTAAAAGGAGTCATTCTTGCTTCCTTAGAAATCATCCCACCTTGCTGCATTGGGAGAATCGTGTTCTGATACAAATGCACATTGACCACGTGCAAAGGGGCGTCAAGAGTTATGTAATGCGATTCTGTTGATGTAATTGCCTGTGTCATATCGAATAAATTGTACCAAGTACCGGGAGGAAAGAGGGCTTTGACCTCTGATTTCCCCTCATCAAGCACCGGGGACACCATAACGCTACTCCCTAGCAAGAATTGCGTGCTCAACCCATAAACCTCGGTCAAATTTGGGAAAGAAAAGAACAATGGCCTAGCAATTGGTGCACCGCTTATGTGAGCCTCATAATTCAACGTGTACAGATATGGAAGGAGCTTATACCTCATACCAAGAGCATTTCGAGCAGACTCAGCCACAGAGTCCCACTGATAAAGCTCTTGTCTTGGGGAATAGAAGTTAGCATGATCTCTTGAAAAGGGGTAAAACGCGCCTACTTCGATCCAACGATTGCAAAGCTCCTCTGTGGGTGCAGGATAGAATCCACATATATCTGAACCAACCATTGGAACACCAAATATCCCGAAATTTAGCATAGTAGAAATCGAATATTTTAGATCATTCCAAGTTCCCTGATTATCACCCGTCCAATGCGCAGCATAGTGGCCTGAACCAACAAAAGTGGAGCGCGATAATATAAATGGGCGCTTGCCCTCAAGCCCTTGAAGAGCCTTGTGAGTTGCAATGGTTTCGGAGAAACCATAGAGACTATGGGCATCATATTCCAAAACACCATTGTAGTGAACTGCACTAGTTGCTATGGTTTTGTACCCAATTGGTACTTGCAATCCTGAGGCGTTTATCTTGTAAGGCGGCTCATCCCATCTTGTTTTCGTTATGTTCTTGCAATCCAAGCAACAAATCCAACCGGGCCCACTTCCAGTCGGGCACTGCTTGCCCTTTGGGATTGTGCACAAGCCAGAACAGAAATTCGAAGCTTCATTCATGTCAATCCATAGACCATCAACGGGGACTAGTTCGTGGAACCGCTTGATCTCATCAACCCACCAATCAACAGTTTTCGGATTAAGGTAGTCAGGGAAGTTGACTGCTCCTGGCCAGACTTGTGCAAGATAGGGCTTTCCGTCATACTTGATGAAAACATCGTCGGCAATCCCTCTTTGGTAGACACCATAACTAGAATTGACAGCAATTCCAGGATCAATTAGAACAATGTACTTCATGCCTTGGGAGTGGATTTTTTCTAGGAATGCCAATAGCTTCGGACGAGGGTAGTTGGCAGAACTGAGGGTGAAATCTTTGTGCGAATCCATGTGATCATCGTCGTTCCATATCACATCGAGCGGGATTTTGGCCTTTTTGTAGTTCTCAACAACATCTTCTACTACTGATAGGTTGTGGTAACCCCACCTGCACTGGTGGAATCCTACAGCATAAAAAAAAGAGTAAATTTTCTCAAACTTTTGCCATTGTTTACTGGTTTTTTATGGTGTGGTAAAGAATGTAGAAGAGTTTTCACACGATGCACAGGTCACAGCACGGCACTTCGGTGGCCATAACATTCAACAGGTAGAAAAGAGGGCTAAATTTTTTCAATTAGAGGAGATTAGAGCGCAATTTTATGAATTGATTGGAACTGACACCAATTTCACTGTACTAATGAGGCATGAGTAGCTAAAATTCATCAACTACAAGTGAGGTACCATCTTTAAAACATGAAAAGCAGGGACTGTCCACATACAAGTATTCGAAATATGAAAAACAAATAGCTGTGTAAGTAGGTTAATCACAAAATGGTTTTGCTTTGAAAACAAATTGCATTAGTTCAATGTTTTAAGCTTACACTAACATAGTAGAAAGGATCAAGGCAATAAATGATTTATTTCAAAATTTTCTTAGTTTTGAGGTGCTGTGACATGTAAAAGGAATAGAGAGAAATAACATCGAGGATGGAACTAACTTCAATTTCTGGTCATTCTCTCCCCACGTACTTTGTATTACAAAACAACTAATATTACTTTCACCTTCTTTTCTTTGTTTTTTTAACCACAAAATAAGTTAAAATCAATTGCATTGTCAAAAGGTACCTTCTAAGGAAACCCAACAGAAGTTACTTTACCTTTCTGGTCATGGAACAATAATCTAAATTACATGTGACACGAATATCTCCAATGCTAAAATGAATAGTCAAAACTAAATTTTCACACTACTACAGTGAAAAAATTATAAATGTTAGTCATGCTACTCCGATAATGCACTAGCCCGTGTCTTGTATTTTCTTCATAAAAAGTCAAAATCAAAATAAAATTAATCCTATTATGAAAGAGAAAAAGAGAAGAGAGTGCAAGTGCACAATGTGGATTGATATCATGATTCATGATCACCCACATTGTTAGAGCATTAAGTGGGACCATTCCAAAAAGAAAAAAGAGGGAGGTAACAGTGATCCTGATCAAGACCAGACACTGATTGTCCAATTTCCACCTCATGTGGGGAAAGATAAACATTACAAGAGGACAATATGCAGAAATTCTGTAATGATTTCTGAGGCTTTCTTGTTGCTTTATACAAAAGATTTGAAGAAGGGAGGTCCCAATCTTGGGCTTGTCAAGTTGTGGAGAAAAGAAGAATACCTTTAATAATGATATTAAAATAGAAAGAGCTTTGAACTTTGCAATTTGAATTTTCCTACCACGTGGGCCTAAAAAGATTTTTTTGTAGAATTACATATCAAAGAACAAGATTTTTGTAGGTCCCCTAGTTGCATTTGGATTACCACTGATTGAATAAAATTATGTGTGAACAAGTGACAAAAGGAGTAAAACAAAAGGGGGACCAACCAACCTCCCTATATTAGTGTTTATACAAAGATAAAACACAAGTATTTGAAGAAATCAGATGTAGCATCCACCTGTACCTAATTAATGAATCGCATTACCAACTAGTGTTTACCAACAATGCATATAATTTTACTTATTTATTTATTTTTCAATAAGTAGGAGAGGGATAAAGAAGGAAAGTTACATTCGTAACAATAAGACTCGAAATTAAACATCCCGCTTTATAATGAAGGGTCTCATCTGTCAAACCAATTCCTCAATGTTAACAATTCATACAATTGGCCAGTCCTATTTCACAAACACCTAATTGATCCCTCAATCAGCAGAAAGGTTGGTTACTATCATATCTCTTCCATATGATGAAATTACCACTAATAAATTCGTTCTTCAAAAAATGCCATTTGCATTTGCAATATGTGAGGAATATTTTGAGAATATCTCTTTCTATCTCACTCCCTCTCATTATTTGAGGAAAAGATAAAAGAAAATGACTTATTAGATCCAAGGCTTGTAAATAGGTGGATAAATCGAAGGCTAGTAAATAGGTGGATAATATTTCTTTCTAGTGCCTCTCACTATTTACTAGCCTAGTATTAGATCCAAGGCTTCAAGATTGTGTCAAGTCGACACTTTTTATAAATTAAATATTTAAATTTTATCTACTTATTTCATCAAACATTAGGTCATTTTTTTGACTTGGATCTAATACTAGGCTTGTGAATAGGTGGATCAAATCTGAACTACTAATTTTTTTTTTTTTAAAAAAATGGCAACGTGGCGAGCATCCACTACTCAGTAGACTTTGATTATCTGACTATTTCTTCGAAGTAGTCTTTTAGTCTTTTTAACTCAAAGTTGCTTTACCTACTAAAAAAAAACTCATAGTTGCTTTAAGAAACTAACTTTTACTCATCAACATTAACTCAAAAAAAAAAAAAATAAATAAATTATAAGAAAGAGTTTGTTTCGCATAAACTAAAAACGTCTATTCATATATTTTTTTAGTCATATTAATTTTCATTTTTCTACACATCTTTTTATAAGAAATTAAAAAAATAAAAATGCTTTAGAGCTCTAATATAGGAGCTCTAATAGCTCTAACCCTGATGTGATGTTTGTGCCTTGTTTTTTTTTTTTTTTTTACCAACCTCCCTATATTAGTGTTTATACAAAGACAAAACACAAGTATTTGAAGAAATCAGATGTAACATCCACCTGTACCTAATTATTGAATCACATTACCAATTAGTGTTTACCAACAATGCATATAATTTTACTTATTTATTTATTTTTCAATAAGTAGGAGAGGGATAAAGAAGGAAAGTTACATTCGTAACAATAAGACTCGAAATTAAACATCCCGCTTTATAATGAAGGGTCTCATCTGTCAAACCAATTCCTCAATGTTAACAATTCATACAATTGGCCAGTCCTATTTCACAAACACCTAATTGATCCCTCAATCAGCAGAAAGGTTGGTTACTATCATATCTCTTCCATATGATGAAATTACCACTAATAAATTCGTTCTTCAAAAAATGCCATTTGCATTTGCAATATTTGAGGAATATTTTGAGAATATCTCTTTCTATCTCACTCCCTCTCATTATTTGAGGAAAAGATAAAAGAAAATGACTTATTAGATCCAAGGCTTGTAAATAGGTGGATAAATCCAAGGCTAGTAAATAGGTGGATTATATCTCTTTCTAGTACCTCTCACTATTTACTAGCCTAGTATTAGATCCAAGGCTTCAAGATTGTGTCAAGTCGACACTTTTTATAAATTAAATATTTAAATTTTATCTACTTATTTCATCAAACATTAGGTCATTTTTTTGACTTGGATCTAATACTAGGCTTGTGAATAGGTGGATCAAATCTGAACTACTAATTTTTTTTTTTTTAAAAAAATGGCAACGTGGCGAGCATCCACTACTCAGTAGACTTTGATTATCTGACTATTTCTTCGAAGTAGTCTTTTAGTCTTTTCAACTCAAAGTTGCTTTACCTACTAAAAAAAACTCAAAGTTAAGAAACTAACTTTTACCCATCAACATTAACTCAAATAAAAAAAATAAAACATAAGAAAGAATTTGTTTGGCATAAACTAAAAACGTGTATTCATATATTTTTTTAGTCATATTATTTTTTATTTTTCTACATATCTTTTCATAACAAATTAAAAAAAGAAAAATGCTTGGGAGCACTAATTAGTGCTCCCACTAATTAGGTGGCAGTGGGTCCCGCCATTAATGAATTTTAGTCTTGGAGTTGTATTTTTTTTTTTTTAACTTTTTTAATACATTAGTGCTATTAGTGATGGTGTTTTTAGTTGATGAATCATTGTTGTTAAAAAAATTACTTATAGTTCAATCATTCCAAACAACCCCATAGATTGAAATAAAGGGAATAAATAGGGGTTAAAAAGTGAAACTCACCCAGAGCCCAATAGATTGAAATAAAGGGAATAAATAGGGGTTAAAAAGTGAAACTCACCCAGAGCCCAATAAGGCATTGGAGCAGGCCTTCCTATCAATGCAGTGTACTGATCAACAACATCCAGAGGCGAAGGACCAGAAAAGAAGTAAAAGTCCAAAATACCCCCAATCACTTTATATGTCAAAGAACCCCCTCTGTAAAACACATCCATCCCATTACTGTTCATCAACAGAACTCCATGAGCATAGGCCTCCCCACCCACATTCCTCAAATCCATGTACACTGGGTGGGACCCATAAAGATCAGTATTCAGATTAATGGCTGATACATCAAGTGTATACAGAGTGTAAGGATCATTTGGATACAATTTAATCCCATGTGGTTGTGTGTTCTCTCCTAGACCATACAGTGAAGCATCTTCGGGCAATTTGGTGGAGATTTCAAGGTACTGATCTTTAAACACTAAATCACCATATGGGTCTGATTGATCTGAGCTTGAATTGAAGAGGGTTTGGCCGTTTGATTTTCTTTTGACAGAAAAGGCAAATGGGTCTGCGGTGTAGCTGAATATGAGCTCGGAACCTGAGAACTCTGAAGCTGTGACTGGGTTTTTTCTTGACCTCCCAATTGTTTGCTTTGATGGTGTAGGTTGATCTCTTGGTAAGAGAGTGTAGGGTACTTCCCATCTTTGCTTCTCTGCGTCTGTGATGTGAACCCTCAATCGATTGTCCGTTTCATGCCTGAAAAAAGCCCACAAACCATTAAAAGAGAAGGTTAATGATCATATGGTCTGGGAATATGTTATCTTTAATTATTTTTTAAATTTTTTATTAGAAGACAGTGTTAAAAAATAAAGAGAAGCTTCTGATAATTTATAATATTTATTTGATTTTTAAACTAAAATAATTTATTCCTAAAACGGATTTGAGTTTCATTATCATGGAAGCAAAGTTGATATATAAAAAATAACAAAAAAAAAAAAACTAAAAGCTAAAAATATCTTCATAATTAATTTTTTTAATTTGTTTAAATTTTTTCAATTTTTATAAATAAAATGACACCAAACACAACATAGATTTTCCAAATAGAAAAAAATAATAACCATGCATCAAACAATCCCATGAAATCATTGAAAACAGTGAAGGACTTAAGTCGTGCAATTTTTCTCGAATTAAAAATTAACAGAGAGACCATGCATCCAGAATTTTTACCCTAAAAAACTAATAATTTATATTTAAATTCATTTTGTAGTTGTTTGAGATATTATATAAATGTTTTTTTTGATTTTTTAATTAAAAAAGTAGAGAAAAAAATATATATTTGTAATAATTTTTTAATTTTTTACGAAAATATGTGTAATAAAATATTATAGTAAAATCAAAATAATCATTTTATGGTTTTGACTTTTTAACTTTTTGATAGTTGAATTCAATAGTAACTTTCCTTACAAGGCTTTTTAATTTTTTTTAAGTAATTTTTTAACCTTTTTAATTTATCCCAAACAAAGCCTAAAGGCTACTGGAACAAAATTATTATTTTGCTCTTTGAATTTAACTATCCAAAAAATCAAAAATTCAAAAGGATAAAATTATTATTTTGATTTTATTATAATATTTTATTATATATCTTTTTATAAAAAATTAAAAAATTATTTTTTTCTCTACTTTTTTAATCAAAAAAATCAAAATACACACTTATATAACCCTCTCAAACAGCTACATAATGTAGCTTTATGAAACTATTTATATGTCTTTTTTGTTTTAAAATTTTATATTAGAATGTTTGGCTAGTTTTTACAACCGTAATAAATTACCTAAGCTCAAAAAACTTAAATCATTTGAAAGTTAAAAAATAGATACTTTTAACCGTTTTATTTACTCCTATCTTACTTTTAGCTTTTTAAAAGGTGTACCAAGTAAGTGAAATACGGGGTATTTTTAATTTTTACTTTGGGATCATAACTTTTTAGTAATTCTATAAACTCGAAAATTCTCAGGTTTCTATCCAAAATTTATTTGTAGGGTAAAAATTAAATTAATTTAATAAAAATTCATATGTAAAAAATATTATTTGATATTTCTTATAAAAGTATATTTTTTTATTTTTTATATTTTTTTGGGTTATAAAAAATTAAAAAATATAGTTATTTAAATAATTTCAATTACTTTTTAAATTTAAGTGAAAAATTTGTGCGTGGAATAAAAAAAAAAAATAAATAAAAATTTGACCCATTGCCGTCCCTCCACTAGGTGTTCCTCGACCGCGAAATAATTTTTCACGTGTGGTGTGTTTAGGAAGCTTCCACGACACTCACTTATTAGTCGTAGGATATGAAAACGTGTTGTTGAATTTTAATAATATTCGAGATAATTTCAAAATACCTCGGATACGGCTTGTACTATTACTACTCCTCTTGTACTGTCCCACTTGTCGT